TGGAGGAGCCACGGGAAGGGTCTCAGTAGTTAGGTCTCTTGCTTCTGTGCTTTCCTACCAGCTCAGGCTCAGAGTCCTGAACATCAGGACAGAGCCTGGCACCTGACAGGTATTTCTTGGCTGGTTCACCACACGACAAGTAGAGCCAGAGGGCTCAGTGATGGGACAATCTTGGTGGGTTTGGTGTCTCTGGGCTGTCTCCTGAACAGGGGTGGTCAACCCTGGATGACTCTAAGATGCTTCTTAGAATCACCTGAAGAGTTCTTAGAAAGGATGCCCAGGCCCTATCCCTAAAGAATCTAATTTAACTGATCTGGGGTAGGCCCCTTGTGCTAGGATGTTTTCAAAGCTCTCCATGTGCTCTTAAGATACAGCTAGGCTGAGAACTACTAATCCTAAGAAGACTCAGTGTCTCAGACACAGTATTCCCAGGCTGGGTCCCTTTTTCTGACAGTCACATTGATAAGAAACTGTGCCTTAGTCTGCCCCTCTGTGAAACAGACTCATTACCTACAAACCCCTGGCCATTCAATGCCTGGTCTTGCAAAGTGTGGTCCTTGGAGCAACCGCCCCAGCAGCACCTGGGGGCCTGTTAGACTCTCACATCCCATCCCAGATCTACTGTATCAGAATCTGCATTTAAATAAAATCCCCTGTGATTCCTATGCATGTTTTTGAGAACCACCAATCTGGTGAAGACTAAATGCTTGACACATTTAAGAAATATCTGATTAGCTGAGCATGGTGGTGTGTACCTATAGTCCTAGCTACTCGGGAGGCTGAGGCAGAAGGATGGTTTGAGTCCAGGAGTTTGAGGTTGCTATGAGATATAATGATGACACTGCACTTTAGCCTGGGTGACAGAGACCTTGGCCCCCCAAAATTTAAAAAATTAAAAAAGAAAGAAATTTCTGTTTAACAAATAGGTTTACAGATTATTTGCAAGGATGCTAGTATGAAAGGGGCCATGTCTAAGGCAAAAAGAGTTGGTTTAGATGTAAAATTGAACACCATTTTTGAGCTGTGGATTGGTGACAGGGGTCCACTGAGACCCCAAGGTCTCTGGCATTGTCATCATTCATGAGGACAGAGCTTCTGGGCTCTTTGAGATGCTGATGTCAAGTCTGGCTGGGAAGTGTTAAAGGACCTTTGACCTTTTCCCACCCCCTATTTCCGACCACATGGGGGCTGCATCTTAGCTCCTCAGGCAGCTTGCAGACCTCTGCAGAGCATTAACTGCACCAGAGGTTGCCATTCTCCTTCCTATGCTGCTGGCTCCTGAGATCAGAGCCCAGGCAGCAAGAGCAGTCAGCCAGGGAGGGCAATGTCCAAAGACAGCTGCTGGGAGCCGTGCTCATGGCGCACTTCACACACTGGCCCTTTTGTAGCCAGAATCACTAATCTGGGTCTTAGAACCTGTGTGTGGAGGTTGCAGCCAAATCTGACCCCAGGAGGGGTGTTTTAGAGGCCGAACCAGGGGCCTGAAGTGGATGGAGATGAGCAGAGATGCAAGGGCCCAGGGCTGCCAGCCAGGGAAGGGCTATAAGATGGTTTGCCAGAAAATGAAGGCAAGTGAAAAAGGACATTCCTGTAGGTGTTAAGAGGGAAAGTGGGGTTTGCTGAGCCGTGCCGCTGCTGCCTTTTCCTGTACCTCTTGTGTTTGGGAAGTGAATGGACAGGAATTATGCTGCTTGGGAACCACACTGCAGCTCCGTGCCTCCGTGGCTTCAGAGAGGAGCCACAGGGCCTGAGAGACACGGGCAGATATGGTGTCAGTGTCCTCTGGGCCTTGTAGTCAGAGGCCATAGGGGGCTCTGGGCAGCTTAGCACTAGCACAGCCCTGCAAATCAAAAGGGCTTTGGCAAGCAGGCCTGAGTACCCACATCAAGCCTCCTGGTTACACCCTCCAAGGGGCTCCCCTCCTCAGCTCACATGGAAGCCAGAGCTGCAGGTGATGGAGAAGGGTGAGTGGTGGCCTATGGGGACATTTAGGTTTCTAAGTACCTGATTCCCAAAATGCTCCATCCAGGCAAATGGCTGGTGTCTGACATGTTGGGAGGAGGTGGGAGCTGCCCTTGAGCCTCAGAATGTGAGCTCCGTCTGCCTCTGGGGTGCTGGCCATGGACTGAGGCGGTCCTCAGGCCCTCAGGTGGCATGGGAGACGGGAGAGGGGAAGGCTTCGTGCCTTTGCCTTCACACACCCATTTCTCGATGATGGTGGAGGGCCCTCCAACACCAGCACTGAGCAGACACTGGGAAGCAGTGATGATTCCCATCTTAGAGCCCAGGGTCGAGGGTAGGGCAATGGTGACATGCACCCCATTTTGTCACCATGTGTTCATGTGGCCATTGGTTTAAGTTTGGATCTTTCCTCCCTGCAAACCTCTTCAGGACATAGCCACGTCATTTATTGACGATTGGACTCCTAGCCCTGAGGCTGGTGCTTGGCACACACATAGTAAATACTAGCAGGGTGACTGAATGTTTGTGGCTACAGGCGACAGGTGCTGGGACAGGGGAGGGCTGGTGCTTCTTGGAAAGTGGGGCCCCAGCACCACCTGAAGCATTAATGTGATTTGCGCTGGCAGAGGGGTGGTTGTTTGGGGTGGGGTAGGCTGGGGTGGGGAAGTGAATTCTGGATAGTCTGCCCACCCAGGGCAAAGCAGGACGTTCAGCCTGGCTGGAGAGTGCTGATGGAGTAGTAGGGAACAGGGTGTAGGGGGGCCAGTTCTCTTCTCTGCCTCAGAGACAAGGTGGCACCTATATGGTGGGGTTTCTTGGGCTGGCCCCCAAAGCCTGCATCACTCATGACTGACCTATCATTGAGCCACAACATGGGGTAGACAGGTTTGTGAGGTCTAGGAGGACCTAAGACGGTCTTGTGCCAGTGGCAAGGCCTGGAGAGAGTGAGAAAAGAAGGCTGTCATGTGGGGTCACTCTTGCCCCTTCCCAAGGCCCTGGCTCACCCCCAGCAGCCCTGAATAGAGGATACATGGAAGAGCTCGTCTCAGGCCTTTCCTGTGGGAGGCTCAGAGACCACGCTCTGACTGATGACCACATCAGGTCTAGAACCCTTGTGTCCCAGTTTCTAATTCAGTGCTTTGCCCTACCCTGTATTTGCCAAACTGTATTGCCCAGCACACTGATTCCACAAGATGTTATTAGCTGAGGAAAACAGGACTTTTTGAGTTAAACACAACCAGGCAGGTTCCCCTCTTGCCAGGACACCTGGAGTGGATCCTAAGCCAGTGCACTCTGAGGCCGATGGAGAGGTGAGAGCCCCTTTTGTGGCTGAGCATCTCCTGAGACTGATAATCCGCTGGACACTTGTAAGGCTGCTTTTTCCATGATGGTTGGAAGAAACGCCTGACCCGGGGTGGGCCCTGAAGCTGGCTGCCCTCTGCGGGTGCCCTGTGTGTCTGTCTGCATTGGGTCTGGCTGGGTCACTCGGACCTGGCAGCCACTGTCTAGTGGCTCTTGCCCCATCTTGGCCCTTCTTTGAAAAACAAAACCCAAAGCCAAAGCCACAGGCTGATCCTGTCCCTGACTCCCCTGTGCCGGGTGGGGTCTGCGGCAGACAGTCTACTCCCTGCCTGTCACCCTTTGCTCTCTCCCAGGACATTCCGGCCCACGAGGAACAAGCACGATGTGCAAATCCCTCAGGTAATACGGGAATTCATCACCAGGGGAGTGCGGGCAATCCAGGAATGGGAACCTGATCAGGGGCAGGCGCGGGAGAAAAGCAGCGGGGGCTGGCCAGGGAGGGCTCATGTTGCAGTGGGTGAGACTCACATGGATGAGGAGAGGGCGCTGGGGATAGAGCCCTGCGGGCCACATGTGGACGGACCCCAGCAGCAACTCCCTCAGCTTTCAGGGAAGAGATGGCAGTCCATGAACCAAGTGTAAGACAAGGGTGACCACATGCTCTGGTTTACACCTGTTGTCTGGACATAATTATGAATGGAGCCCCTTGTTGACTCGCAGAAGTCCTGCAGTTTGGATGATCTATTACATGGTCACCCTGGTTAAGACAGACCTGCAGGTGGTGTCTTCTGCTCTGTGATTCTACTTTCCTAACTTCCCAGTTTCTGTCTCACCTTGCCTGGCCTGGCAACTCAAAATGTAGCTCAACACGTCTCTAAAGTTCCAAACGAGAGGAAAGATGGCTTTCCTCTAGCCTGGACCTCCAGGGTGCTGCCAGGGCCCAGTGTGGCCACCATGCTGTGCCCCCGCTATCTCTTCCTGATGCCATCAGTTCACCTGCTACCACCCACAACAGGAGAGCAGGTGCCGGTATGACGAAATGGTGCCGGGCTTGGGCTAAGTGCAGACACCCATGTCCACTACACACTCACGCCAATAAGGCCACCACAGGATGCTGGTCCCTACGGAGGAAGCAATGAGCTGGGGTGGGGTTAAGCTCTCTGGGGGTGAGGGGATAGTCAGTGGGAAAGAGCAAGGAAAAAGACAAGATTGTATTGCCCAGTTTCCCCTCTCCCAAGGGACCCCAGAGTATGGGCAGACAGTCTGTCCCTTTCCAGCTCCTGTGGCTTTGCTCAAACCTGTCCCAGTACTAGCCACAACCAACCACACAGTTGCAAACATATGAGGGCACGGTCTTAGCGGGGGAAGAAGAGGAAAAAAGACATCCCCACCAGTTCATGACTGCCCAGACAGACAGAGGTCAAAGCACAGAGCCAGGGTCAGACCAAGAGGCAGGCCTCTTATTATGAAAATAGAAAGAGAGAAAAGGCCGGTTCAACACAAAGCACCTATAAAATTATATTGGTCCATTGTTACCATGGAGCACTCACAAACACACACAAATCTGGCCACTGCGTCCCCTGCCCTTCAACTGCCTTTCTGTTTTCTATAATTAATCAGGCAAGGGGGAAACTTGGAAAGAGTTCAACTGTGGTTAGAACTTGCAGCCTTCTTGCTACTAATAACCCACAGACACAGAGGGCAGGGGTGTGGGGGCAGCTGTCACGTCCGGGTACCTGGAGCATGTTGAGGAGCAGGCTCCGGAACTTGGTGCCCTCCACCATGAAGAGCGCCATCTTGTCGCAGAGCTTGGCGGCGGTGAAGGCGAAGCTGCGGTCCGACACGGCCTTCTGGTAGATGGTCCGCACGATCTCACCCAGCATCTCCTCGGAGTTGGTGGAGTTCTGGGCCTCCTCCATGAAGGTGCTGAGCTTGGCGTCCACGTCGCTGCTGTTGTTCCTCATGCTGTTCAGGATTTCCATCAGCTTGTCCATCTTGTTCTGCTGGGGGCTGGTGGTCTCCACGGCCACTTCCTCCTGGGGGTGTGGGAGACAAACGGGAATGCTTGAGCGATGCAGAGGTCTCTCTGGGGGGTGGCCTCCTGGTGGAAGGGCTGCCACCCCCAGAAAGCAGAACCCAGTCCTGCCTTTCTTGGACCCGAGGTCTGGGCCCTCTGGGAATGCTTACCTCTACCAAACACCCCTCATGCCCCAAAGGCTCTTTGTTGACTTTTTTCTTGGCCCCAGTGACATTTTGGCTGATATTTCTGGTACGTTCTATAGCTCCTACCCAGGACTTTCATATATATTGGCTTTTATAATCTATTTGTCCATCCAATGTCTTAATCTAAAATCTTATTTCATCTTTTATAAGCCCCATTAAATCAAGACAACAAACAAGAAATTGAGCCAAAAAAGAAAATAAGAATAGGAAGACTAGGTAAGGAAGGTGACTAAGATCAAAACGCCCAGGATGGTGGCTGGAAGAGGCCCTGGGACCAGCCACCTTGTACTCCACATCCTCAGCTCTGAAAGCCTAATGTGGTCATGTTCCCTGGGCGTAGGATTCTATGTGGACAGAACATTGGCTTTGCATCCTATAGAGACTGTGTTGGCCTTCTACATACAAATGCCATATCCCTAGGACTCTACCACAGGCCACTAAAATAGTTGGTGCTTCTAGGAGGGAAATTTCACATCAAAAGCCCTATACCTTTATGTAGTTTCACTGCAACTGGGACCAGACTAGGGGCTGAAGGAAGAAGAAAATGGCATTTGACTGTCAAAAGTATTTATTCCAATATAGCAGAGTAATAGCCAAGAATGTGATTGACTTAATGGCTGGGATGCCAGGCCTGGTTGAAAGGCAGGATTATGGCCATAAGATGAGAACCACACTTGTCCTTCTGTTCTCAACAATAGGTGCTCTGGGCTAGGTAACAGACTGAGGTTCTAATTCTCGTTCTCTCTGGCTCACCATGTGGCTTTGGGCAAGTGGTTTCACTCACTTGGCCTCAGTTTCCTCAGGGGTGACATGGCGAGGATGGAAGATCTGTAGCTTTCCTTGAGTCCTGCCATGGGGGAGGGGGTGAGTTCTAGGGCCCGCTGATCACCCACTTGAGCACTCAGAGTTGAGTCTTAGGTGTCCTGCTCCTTCTCCTCAAGCCTCCTCAAATCCATCTACCTCTTTAAGGGACTCTAGTCTGAGTCTCTGAGTTAGGTCAATAAGACAGAACACCCCACCACCATGGATGTCTAATATTTTACCCATTTCTTGAAAGGTCAAGGGAAGTGTTACTCTCCTTGAGGCAAGTCTTATGTGGGATGGTACCAGTGGCTCACCGTTCCAGGGTGAGCAGGGAGAGTGACCCAGCCTAAGCCTAAGTCCATTCCTCCTGGTCGAGGAGATTAGGAGGCCTCACCTGAGGGGAATCCTTAAAACTGAGCCAGGGGTGCTATGGCTCTACTTTATCTGTTCTCATCCTCCACCACCTGGGCCCCAGGGCAGGAATAGCTGTTTGCACATAGACCCCAAGGGCCTTTGCACATTATCTTTTTTATTTACAGTCTCTCTGCAACGCCCATGTTATAAAGAGGTTAGGTGACTTGCCCAAGGTCGCCCAACCAGTCAAAGTGAGCACTGAGTCTGGCTGGCTGCACTCTTAAGTCCATGACATTTGCATTCTGCTGCCTTGCAGTCACAGTTAGCAGAATGTAATAAATACTCCTCCCTGCTCAGGCCATAGCAGGCTGTCCTGGAAGCTCTTCAAGTAGCAACCACACACTGGTCATCAGATAGAAAGCGCTTCCAAGGGCCTACCTTTGGGGTATAAGGCTTTCCTCTAGGATCTCACAGCCCCTTGTCCCCAAGGGAATGTGGAGCAGAGAAGGGGATACGGGGGCAGAGGAAACTTGGGGGAGGCACAGAAGACACCAGGAGTAGCATCTCATCTCCAGAGCTGCCTCAGGAAGAGGTTGAGCTGCCTCAGCCCACCTGGGTGTGGGCCTTGGGCCTGGCTTCTGGGGCAAAAAGATGAGGAGAGAAGGCAGGAGAGGGAGGATGGGGGAGACACTCAGAACCTGGAGCTCTGTGGAGGTCCCAGGGGAAGACTCTGCAGCCTCTGCCTGCCATGCAGGGAGGTGTGTGGGTAAGTCAGCCTTTCTTGAGATGTTTCCTCTCAAAGGTGACCTTGCCTGTGCCTTTGGTGGGCAGTAAGGGCAGGTGTCTTACTGGGGTGAGCACACTGGGCTTAATGCTGTAAGCAGCACATCCCCATCCCTTTTCGGGAGGCTTGGGGCATCTCCTAATGAAGCTGTGGACCAGGCCCTGGACACCAGGCCAAGACTAGCACGAGGAAAGAGGCTCCCGGGAGCAAACGTCAGGAGGTCTCACCCTCAGGGTCCTGCCCTGTGGGTCAGCATGGAGGATGCTGGGTAGAGCCTCCTTGCAGCCCGTACCCTGGAGAGCTCATTGACTGCAGGGAAACAAAATCAGTCTGGGTCTGCTCTGCCCCACTCACCTCTGCTCCCATCCTAGATGGCACCACCTTGTGGAGGGACCACTGCCTAGATGGTACTCACCTTGTGGAGACGCATCAGTCCCTCTTATTTCATAAGCTCCACAGTTTTCCAAGCACCCTTTAGCATGAACAGGGCAGTGTCTGATCCCAGAAAACATTTCTCGTACCCCTCCTATCACCCCCAGACATGTGCTTCTCCTTGCCAGGCTGGGGGCTGGCACCAAGTGTCTGCCCTGGTCCTCTTGGGGTCGGGGGGAACAATAAGTAAGGGCCAGAGTATGCTGAACAGCTCATGTAGGGCTGGCTACGGTCCTCCCCTCTGGTGGCCCAGGGCACCAGACAGCAATGTCCCTGTGTGGTGGGTCCCCACAGCCAGCAAAGACCCGGCTTCCCTCCACGTAGCTCCCCAGACCCCCAAACCCAGGGCACCTTGCACCCACCTACCAACGTGCCTACCTCTCACTGTCCTCCTGAGAGCAAGAGAAAAACAAAAATTCAATTACCGGTACCTTTTCTTTTAGCCTTCGCCGTAGTCTGTCTTTGGAAGATTGGAGCAGGGTAATTTTGGGCCGCTCCCCGATGCGCTCGGGAAGAATACTGTCTTTACGTTTTGTCTCGGCCTCCAGCCCTCCTGGCTGCTGTGGGGGCAGCCTCTCAGAAGCCGCTGGGGCCAGGGCGTCGGGGCTGCGGGGGGGCTCAGGACCACCGTGTCCGGTGTCCCCTGGGGTATCCTCAAGTTTTGGGCTCTCGATGGTCACGACTTCTTTGGCATTGCGGTGGGTGCCTGCCTCCCCCTTGTCGCCTGGTGGGTGCTTCATGTTGCCATGGTGCCAGCGCCGGTTCTGGCTGTAGCCATGGTGTGTGGGCCTCCCTGAGGGGTGAGGTGCTGAGCCTCCCTGGTAGGATTTCTGGTGGTCCCTGTTGTGTTTGGCACTGCCAGGCTGATGGTCACCATGTTGTTGGGGCTTGTTCCCTCCTGGGGGCCTCTGCTGTCGTCTGCAAATTGAAGGGAGAAGAGAGTGGGACCACTGAGGTCAGGTTGCACGCCTCCGGACACTAGAACAGGAGGTCACTCCCAAATCCACTAACTAAATAATAATAAGAAGTTGTTATGGGCTGAATTGTGTCCCCCTTTCCCCAAATTCATAAATTGAAGCCCCAGTACTCAGTATTTTACCCTGAATTTGGAGACAAGGCCTTTAAAAAGGTGATCAAGTTGAAACAAAGCTGACCTTATAATAAGAGAAAATTTGGACACAGAGAGACATCAAGGATGCCATGCACAAGGAGAAGAGATCATGTGAGGACACAATAAGAAGGTGGCTGTCTGCAAGCCAATAAGAGAGTCCTCAAAGGAAACCAACCCCACAGATGCTTTGATCTTATGCTTTTGGGTTCCAGAACTGAGAGAAAACAAATACTTATTGTTTAAGCCTCCCAGCCAGTGGTGCTTTGTGAAGGCAGGCCTAGCAAACCAGTACAGAAGGGATATTTAACACGATGGTTTTAGGTAAAGCCAGGCTCACCGATTTACTTGACAGTACTTTCTAGGCAGAGAAAAACAGCATATGGAATAAACGGGAGTTGTGCACCGTGGGAAGGACCCCAAGCATTTTGATGTGTGGGCCAAAGGCAAGTGAAGGGGTGGAGAGGGGGCATTCTCCTGACCCTCAGACTCGGGCAGGGGCTGCTTCCTGCCACTCAAAGCACTCCTGTGTTCAATCTCTAACCCTGAGTGTTTTGTCCGTGTCATAATTTTATGGGCAGAGCAGCTGAAGAACAAGAAAACCATAAGCCCCTCAAAGGTTACAAAGCGGTGAAGAAAATTTGCAGGAAGATGTTACCTTATAAAGAATGAGCACCACCCTTCCTCTGTGACCTATCTTGGGTACCACAGACTTTCACTGCATTGCATTTTATGAACAAGCTGTGTTTCTTCACTTTCAAAGTATTGGCTATTATTTGCATAACTCAAGTTCAATGTTCATTTGATTCTTTTTTTTTTTCAGTGAAAATTTGGGGGTATTTTAGGTTGGGGTTAAACACATTACTCTTATCCCATTAAAATTACAGTAAAACCTCTGTAACTCCACCCAAGGGACTGTAACAAACTAGTTAACATACAGAGGTGGCAACATAAGGACCGAGGCCTATTGTACTGATATGCATACGTGGTATAGGTCCAGTCTATGAAAATAAGGTCAACTTAAGGAGATGGTCAATGTAGGGGAGGTGGCCAACTATGAAGGTTCTACTGTAATCGGAAAAAAAATGTTTTTTCATTGAAAAGCTGTCATTGGAAAGCTTCATAGCAGAGCTTTCAGGGGAATTAAAATAGTTAAGTGAAGGGTGGACGCAATAGTTTTCTTTTTGTTTCCAAATAACACACTGCGTATTAGGAATAGAAACTGGAATAGTCTTTCTGAAGGGAAACTGGACAGTCTGTCTAAAAAGCCTCTAACACATGCAAAGCACTGACCTTTGCTATTCTATCTGTGGCTGTGTGTCCAAAGGAAATAATCTAAGATGTGCAAAAGGATTTAGGCACCAGGGTGTCCACCACAGCAAAACTGAATGTGGAGTAATTAAAGATTAAGGCAAAAGCGCTCAGATTTATTGGAAGTATGGCGTCATTTTTAAGGTAAGTATTTATATGCCCTGAAAAATATATATATTTAGTGTGTATAGGAGACACACTATAATGGTAATAGTGGTTATCTCTGGAAGATGAACGTGGATTTTTCTCTTCTATTTTCTAAAGGAGCACGATTTTATTTTCTTAATTAAACTTTTCATTGCGAGGCAATTAATTATGGATTCACATGAGTTCTGCGGAATAATACAGAGAGATCGCTTGCCCTTTTTACCCAGCTGACTGTAACTTACAGAGGTTCTACTGTAATTTACCCTCGTGGTGGCATCTTGCAAAACTGTCATGACTAGGATATCAACACAGACAGTCAAGACACCGAACATTCCCATCGCCACAAAGGTCCCTCCTGGTGCTCTTCTGTAGTCACACCCACCTCCTCCCACTTCCAGCCCCTGGGTCTCTGGCAGTCACCCATCTGTTTTTCATTTCTATAATTCTGTCATTTCAAAATGTCATATGCAACCCACTGGGATCGGCTTTTTTTACTTAGCATAATTCCTTGGAGATTCATCTAGGTTGTCGCCTGAGTCAGGTTCGTTCCTTTTGACTGTGGAGTAATACGTTCACGCTGTACCTCACCCACGGAAGGACGCGGGGTTGTTTCCAGTTTGGGGAGGGAGATGATGAACACAGCTGCTGGGAATGTGTGGGTACAGACTTTGGCGTGAACCTAAGTTTTCATTTCTCTGGCACAAATGCCCTGGAGTACCACGGCTAGATGCTGTGGTGGCGGCAATTTTAGTTTTCAAATAACTTTTCACACTGTTTTCCAGAGAGGCTGTACCAGCAATGTAGGCAAACTTTTGGCCATTATTTCTTTCAGGGATTTCTTCTCTACTTCTGGGACTCTGACGGCACACATGGTAGACATTAAGTTACAGTCCCACGGGTCCCTGAAGCTCAGGTCATCTCCCTACTCGGCCCAGGTGATACTGGCCTGGTGGGAGGCCAGGGCACCTCCTCATAATCTTTGCCTTCACTGGCATGGTGGGTGGGTGTGGGGCCACAGCAATTTCTACGGGGTGTTGGCTGGAGCAGAGCAGTTATCATCCTAACTTTTCTGTCTTACGAGGCTGCCCTTCTCCTGGTCCCTTGGCTAAAGCAAGCAGGCTTCTGTTGGGGCTTCTTTTGCCTGTCTGCACGTAGTGGTGTTTCTGGGTCCCCAGTTTCTTTAGCTCCAAGTCTGGGATATACGAGCCAAGAAGAAAACTCCAGGAACTCACCGCCACTGTGCCATTTTCAGCTCCCAAGGTCCCTAGCCTGTTTGTCTTCTTCCTTCCTTTCAGAGTCTTCTAATGTTTGTTTTTATTTATATATAATGTCCAAGGTTGTTATTTGTCCATATTTATTTTAACAATTTAAGAGTCACTATAAAAACATCTCTAAAAATCTGGCACACTAAGCTGAATCCTGCTTCCTGGGTGTGCCCTGCCCCCTCGTCAGGAGACCGGCACGGGACTTCCCATCCTTGTCCAAGTTTGAGATCATGGGTTCTTTAGCACATTCTTGATCAAGGACAATGCTGCCCTAACACCCATCCATCCCAACCCCTGCCCCCCCCCCACCATTGCTACACCACAGACACTCAGTTTTACTCCCCACTATGTGACATCAAGGCAAGGACCAGCAGCAGCAGCACCCAGCAGAGTTGGGTCCCACACTGGCAAAGCAGACCCGTGAGCTGCGTCTTCCTAGAGACTCCATCACCACCTGGTCAGATGGCCCAGAGCTAAACGCAGATGCCTCAGTCAGTTAAGAAGGCTGTCGCCCTCACTCTGAGGTGTACAAGCCAACCACACTGGGAAAGAACAGAAGAAACTCTATGGCCCCCGTAGGATTCCCTAGGGTACCATGTGCCTGTGACTTTTCGCGAAGTTTCTCCGCCTTTAATTTTTCAATTACTTTCAACTAATTTCTCCTTCTATTCTCTTTGTTCTTTGAACATGAGTTATTTTTATGCCCAGAGAGGAAGCCTGGAAATTCCCTGGCAGATAATGATTCTCACAACTTTTGTCATCCTTATTTAGAATTTTTGTGGCGCCTACAGCTATGGCCCAAGAAATGCCCCCAAAGGGTTGACCAAGCCCTTCAACATCCGTCTCAAAACCATCCAGTTTCCCACTTGCCATGTCAGGGATTTCCCTCTCTCTGTCCCAGCCTTCCTGCCCCCCCCCCCCAAACAGCTTCTGTCCACTTAGAAGAGGAAGAGGGTGATTTCTACATGACTGGTGGTCAAGGACTCCAAAAAGGAATCAGTTCGGTCTTGCAGAGCGTCTGCTGCTCATTTCTGGAAGTTTGGGGGGGCACCTGGAATTGCGTGTCTTCCTGGTTCAACTAACCTTGTGGCCAGCCAACCCTGACAATACAGTGATCACCAAGAATGCTTTAGGCTGCCTGGCATTCGGGGGTGGTGTCAGACTCACTCTTGCTGAGTGGAGGCTCGTTGGCACATACAGAGGGCCACCCATAGGTGCCAGGGGAAGCCAGAGAGTCCACCCGAAGTGTCCTCTCCTAATTGGGCAGGCAACACTAATGAGTTCAAAAGAAAGAGGTTTTGACATGGAACTACACAGCAGAGGGGATCAGCTGGGTAGATTCTGGGAGGGCAGGAAGAGCCCAGAAATCAGGGAAGGAGGCGGCGGCACCAAGCCTTACCCGCCCTCTTTTCTCCCTTTACCCGCTTCCTGCACAAGGCCCAGCTTAGTTCTCAGGGCCAGTGGCTGTGGGACTAGCCTCTGTGTGCAGGCATGTCAAAAACTTTCCTTCCCATGTCACAGGCAACCCAATTGAGGCTCAGGATGGACTGTGCCAACCCCATCGACTCATCACGGCACCTAGCAGCCCCCTCTTGTCTGTCTCCATTCTCCTTGAGACCCAGCCTCCTTAGGAGAGACGTGCTGAATTATGGCTGAGACCTCTGCGGTGGCAACCATGTGAGGACTGTGTCCTTAGCCTAGGAAGGAGCTGAGAGGGCTGCTGGAACCATTGGCACAGACTTGAGGCTGGGCCTCGTTCCCCAACAATGGAGACCCAGGCTTCCCTGCTCCGGCCATTCACAAATATTTGTCAGCAGCGGCTGGCTGGGCTGGCCAAAACCAGCTCCTCTCTCTTCTGTTTGCTGGCGCTGGGTTTCGTCGATACCTTCATCCAGGGGCCAGCTGGCTGCTCACCACGAAACCTGTGGGTTTGGGTTTGGCTGGGCAAGGGATGAGCTGCTTCTGCTCCCTGCAGCGGGGCAGGGAGGCAGTACTTGCTCTCAGGCCCATGGATATGCGGACCCAGGTTGTAGAGACATGTTAGTGCCCCAGTTTTGTAGTACTGGGGCCAAGATCCACATCTCTGC